TCATTAAGATCCATCGATGGAGCGAGCCATTATGTCGGTTCTCGTGACGTTCTTTCCTTGCCACTTGATTAAATTAAACTTTTAATGCGACGTTTCAGAATAATCGTTCTTCCTGAACTCGATGATTCTATTTTTTAGTAAATATTCAACACATTTAATGCGATGCATTCATTATAATGATACATTATAATTGTATATTATAATATAAGCGAGATTGAGTCTCTATCACAATAAATAAATACGTTAAAACAATAAATTAATATATTGTCTATCAGAAGCCTAATACAACTTTATCTCAGAGTGATTACCATAATATTGTAATGATCGTAGAATTAATATGGCCAATGGATTGGAATGTACATGCACTTTTCTTATAGCGATTTGAATTGTCCGTGAGTAGATATTATTACTTTAAGTAGCACATTTTCAATTCAAAGGCATTGAGACGAGTTCTTCCCGGGAGCACCTGCGTGGTCGATACTTTCATTAGAGGGGACAAAAAGGCACGAATTAGGCCACTTCATTAGAACCCTGATTTCCATCGCTGTGCTATATAATAAGGTCTACATGTGGATGGCAGATTGGCTCGTAGTTACGGTTCACGTACAGATACACACAGTCGGGAATTTAAAAGTTCGAACGCAATAAACGTCTATCATGGTTAACTGCTCAAAGATAATCGCAATAACTACTTTCTAAGTACTCTCGAACAGTGTCAGCTCGTTTTAAAACCAGTTGCTCTTCGCTCTTCAGCACGCCTGTACGTGCATTATTGAATATTAATGTCACAAGCTTGTATAACATTTCTAGTGTCGTTCAATTTGATAATAAAAATTAAGTAAAAATTGTTGGCTATCTCTTGCATAATTTTCGCTTTCGTTTAAATTGTCCGGAATTTTAAAGATGAATTATCCTGTGGCGTCGATTAAAAATACCACGAAGCTCGTCAAAATGTATTTAAGGTAGTTCTCGTGAAAATTAAAAATTGCCAACTTATAGAATTTATATGAAATAGAGTAAGAAAAAGGAATCAGAAGAGGAGAAATATGTTTAAGGGGTTGACGCTGTAAACTTATACTTAAAACTTTCTTTCTGCTCTCACAATCGGTAAGAACTACAGATGGTGTCTGTGTATTTATACGCAGCGAGCTTTCAGATGCCATTATAGCGACTACTACATATGTTAAAGTTCAACACATAAGACACCTGGCTACTCATTATGACAAAACAAACAATGGAGTTGAATCTGACGAAGTTACTTAAAGGTACGCGTACGTACTGAAAGTAATTATTTAACACCACCTTTCAGATGTCAGCATACTATCACCATCCAGGCACAATGGATCTGTTATACGAGAACTAAAACTTCACCACCAGAGCAAACAATTCCGAACCCGTGAGACTTGTTATAGACGTCTTCAGAATTGGAACGATTAATTTGAATCAGGAAGTCTTATGCAATCTCATAGAAGTTCAAATTTCAACAGACTGAATATCGAATCAACATATGTTCGGTAAATTGTTTTCCTTTATTCTGTTGTTAAAAATTATGCAATCCAACAATATTTTGTGTTTTAAATAACAGCACCTAATATGTTTTGTCTCACATATGGGAAACATTAGCAATCTTATTCTTTTTAGTCTCTTCTATTGTCAAGTACACGTATTTTACTACATTCTTGTCCCTGGGTCCATGTATTCAATATCGTCTCTAACGGAGGCCAGGCGCCCAATATCGTCTCTGTTGAGTCCACTGCTGTCCATATTGTCTTTATTAGGTCACACATATGTCAGATCAACTCAATAGTCCACATTCGCTTCCCATTATAGTTAGGTATAATTATACGTAGTTATATTTGGTTAGATATGCATTTCTCAGTCAGGTCTACACTTTCCTACTTCTGTCTCTTCTGAGAGTGCGGCCCCTTTCATGGTGCGGCCTTACAAATATTTTGACTGCGCGCAACCTGTGCATTAGTACACGGCCGACGTTGCACAGATGAGTATCCGGTCTTAGAAACGTAAATCGAGCAAAATGTTTCCGCCAAATTATGATCGGCGTTTATACGTGGAAACACGATCGCCGGTGAATGCGAATGCAATTTTCGTAGACCACGTTCGTCGAGCTCATTAATCTTCCGCGTTAAAACTAACTGGTGCACGTGCGTGTGTGTGTGTGTGTGTGAATAACCGTATTCCACCGTGAAAACTTTCGCAGGTTTCGAGGATCGTTTATTCCACGTCTCGCAATCTCTTTAGAACTGCGTCATCGAGATAAGGGAGTAAACGTGACTGGCGTAGTTACTGTAGTGTTTTCGCGTTATCGCGAATTCGCATTTCTTCGAGTAATTACGGGTCCAAGTACCTGTACGTACAGCTCTGACTTCCAATTTCCAAGCTTGTGCACGAACACGCACCCTATTTCTCAAGATCTGTGACAGTTATTCACTGAATTTGCAACGGGGGAATAACAAATTAATTCAACTACGATTCAACTTCGATTCACTGCCATCGGAATTGGGGAACTCGTACGATCCTTGGAGATTCAGCGGGCCGAGAAGCATTTCGATTCAACGCTACGCATAATTGGAAGGCTCTGTGAACGTGCTTTCTACTGGATTCAAGAAACTGAATAAGAATGGTGAAAGAATGTTATCAGATCTCGTTATTAAATCGAAAGCGTTGTCCACGAAAGCGTTGACCACCGTTACATTAAGTTTAAAAATTTTTAGTCAGTTAAAAATAAAATAATGTAATTAATTAAGAACATTTAATTGATAATGAAAACAATGGATGATACACGAATGTATTGGTTCTTCGTTATTCATCCAGTACAATTCCTTTTTTCGAATAGTACAATGTACAATGGTGCGCAAAATTTTTTTCAACGTAAAAGCCGTGTTGTATTTTCGGGGCATCGATTATGCAATGAAAATGGACGAAAACGAGCGGAACGGATAAAAGGGATTACAAATTGTGTCCCTGTTACCAAGATGGAATGTCTTTGAATATTTTATATCCGTGGGGCTACATATCGATTGGTTTTCACGCCATTCCGCGGTCATTCAATTAAAAACTCGGTCAAGCCTGTATTAACGAAGTGGCCCGTTATCAACGGCCGCGTGAAGAGTGAAGCGACCAAAGACGCTTAAGGGAGAATCATGAGGAATAGAGGAGCTTAACGAAATTAGTTCTGCATTCCATGAATGAATGGATACGTTTGGCGCTTTCTATTCATCGGGTTCCAATTTTTTTCTCCTCATTCATTCTCCCATTCTTTTCCTTCCCTCAGTTAAAAAGTCGCGACGATGTCAAATTCAGGAAAGAATTATTCAGTGCTTGACGTACAATAAAACAAGTGCAAAATGTAAATCGCTGTATGCACATTTGACGCGATTGTCGATAAAATGAAAATGTCCCATCGAACGTGCGAGCTTATATCAATTTTATTTTACCGTGTCTTGTGCAGTCCCGTAATTCACTATAAAATGTTTTTCTCCGAAGAAACTCGCGTGAAATTGATTCTCGTATCAATCTTGCTCGCGACGGTACACGCGAGAACGACAAAGGCGGCTGCGCGAATTTCTTTCGCGTGACTTGATGTTCCGATACATTAACGGAGGCAACACGGAATTCTGTTTTTCTGTCATATAAATGAACACCGATATACAATATCTATCTCGACGAATAATTAACGAACATCGAATTCATTCACGTTCAATTATTTTATTATGACATAATGTTATACACGAAATTATATTAATTTACGGATTCGAGCCGGCAAAATTATCATTGCATATGTGCAATACGTTTCAAGTTAATATCCAACCGTATATTTCACCATTACAGTGTAATGCGTAATTAATATTCGCGGGCCAATAAATTCGCATGATCGATGAAACGTACAACGTGAGCTTTCGCAGTGTAAAACGCGTGCAACTGCGAGAGCAATCCGAACCGTAAGTGGTCAACACGTGACGCGATGCGATAGAACGACTTGCTACTTCGGTACGCGAAACACGAAGCCAACCAAGTATCGTATAACTTTTCAACTGTAGAGACTTGAGGGAAGATTTGCCGGGTATGGCTTCGGAAAACGGCGAAACGCGAATAATCATCAGGCCGTTCTTGACTTATCGTAACAATTCTAGGAATTCCGATATGTGAAGGTTGCTCGGAACTGCAGATTAATCGACGTAACAGCATAATACTACGGAACAAATAAATTGTGGTATACATATATGTATTACAGATACAAATTCTATATATTTAGTTTAGTTTTTTATGTTTAAAATAATATTTAAGCGCATGTCTAGAGATGACACGCAAAATTTAATAGTGATCAATCACAGTGATCGCAAAATCACAATCGTGATTGTGATTTAACTTCATTCATTGTACACGACCATAGTTTTGATATTTTTATCCCGAGTTACTCATTCCGATGATAATTCTCGGTCTTAATTGGATTATCTCTTATAAAACGATTTAATACAGCTTTGATATAATGTAAATTTAGAATTACGTTGCCGTAATTGTAATTCATTTCATCCTATATGAATTTGTTCACTATAATAAAATAAAATAATACGAATATTTCGTAAAATTAAGTTTAAATTGGACGTAAAATTATACGTGCAGTTCATAATCGTTGATTTATTCCTCAGATTTAATTGTCCCTTATTATTCATTATATAATTTTAGGCGCGTGCAAAGAATAATTAAGTTCGTAATTATATATACATATATCAATCAGTAGCAATAACGAAAAATCACGAATCACTGTGGAAAATTGTTGTAATCGAGGACGAACTTAATCTGATCAGCAGTTCACGCCATCTCCACTCGTGTCAAACGATCCTGAACAATTGACTTAAACTGCTTTACACGATGAACTTAAAATGTGGTGCGATGAAGACCACGGCAATTAAAGTAATGGAGCAGCAACCTCGATGACACACGCCGTTAACGCACACATTCTGTTAGTAATAACGTCTTACCGCAGTGATAACTTAGGGTCTCGTAAATGTCCTCCAGTAAGTTATAGTTCTCCTTGGGGTCAGCGTTGTATAGCACCAGCTTCTCGCTGAAATATTGAGCAAAACAGTTTGCGGTTAGCACGCAGGGAACCTCAATTAGAACTTTCGTTATCGTCGCATCATTAACAAATAAATAATCGATCCGTACGTGCCCCAATGATCTTATACAATACCGTGACGTGAAACGCGTGTGTAAACACAGTGGTTAGCCGTTTCCACGATCAACGCGTCTCATTCGATCTCAATGAAATTCAATTAGCACGGATCAGATGTTCGCGAAACGATGCTTCTCGCCGTTTTTATCGGCTATCTTGTTACCTGAACGACGCGTCGGTGTAATTTCCCGCGTTTATCGGAACATTCATCGGAAAACAGAAAAGGTGGAAATTGTGTTTGACGATTGCCTAAGGCACTCGCGAGAGTACAAAACACACGCGAAACGCGGTATATGCAATGGATGAAAATGATTGGTCGGAACATTATTATAAAACGACGAAAAATCAACAGTTGTATTGCTGCATTAACGCTTCTGCAGAAAAAAAGACTTGTAAGTCTAAATTATTTTAGCAATGTATTATTAAAGTAAGCAACGTTGGAGCAAAGCGAAGAAATCTTATGTTAAGTTAGCAGACTAGATTATGTTATAAGATTTTTGGGACGTCATTTCTGTCGACCCTCATTTAGTCTACTCCTTCAAGTTATTTATTGTACATATACTTCGTGTTCTGATTCATGTCTGTATTGTTAAATATTTTTAATAATTTGTCAAAGTGTTTAAAATACGAACAAAAATATTGTGCAAAGCTACGAGGGTTCCAAACGTTTCAGCAACATGTAGACACAGTATTACTAAAAGAGTTGACCAACTTTTCAATCCTTCCGCTAATTTAGCGCATATTTATTGAAGTGATGGTTACTTTAGAAGCCGCAGAGTATTTGCAGGAAGAAATACTTACAGTGACCTGACGGTTTCGAATGACTCCTCGCCTTTGCTCAAACGGGTCGACAGAGCCAAGGCAACTACTTCATTCTGCAATAAAAACGAAAGTTGTTGTAAAATCGTGGATGTAGAAGTAAACGAAATAAGATAGACATCGTTGAGTGGGACGAAATGTGTATTTTTTTTGTGAAATATACCTATAAGTAAATATCATACGTTGCCACTGAATTCTTAATTAAAATTATGATTTAATTTCAACATTTACTTTCTTTCAGTTTTTTATGCTTGAATTTTCATGAATGGTGCAATAAACTTAATATCGTATACTGTACTGCAGGATAAATAAAAAAATGAACAAGCCACTAATTTAATAATTCATGATAGCATCCAATGCTCTCGGAAGTTTAATCTGTCGCAATACTTCCAATTAACTTAATAAATTGACCGTCGTATTGATTTCACGTAATCTGACCCGGCAAATTGCATCTGTACCAATCCGACTTCGTCGAGGAGATGGAGATTGGAGTCGCGGCAAATAAGTACTTCGAGCCCAGTAACCGTATTTCACTCTCCAAATTCCTTTCGGGTATTACATAAAAACCACATCTGTCACCAAGGTGAAGATCTATACTTTTCGAATAATAAAACAAATTCGTTATTTCAAAGAATCAGGACAACTGTTTCTCTGAGTTCTTATTATTTATTTTAACTTGGACTAGTATATCATTAGCTAAATTTCCATTTAATTTAAGGGGAGTGTATAGATTGCTAAAATCAACGTTTTCCTATCAGGAATTTCAGTGGCAAGAAATGTTTTTGCGTCATGAGATACATAGAATTGTGATAGGATTAATAATCGTCCAAGATAATTTAATAGAGGCATTTCGCATGGAGCTGATCTGGTTTTTAATCGTTAGTTATGACGCGCACTTCGCGGTAGAATTTATGGCCCACACGGTGCTCCAAGCTACAGCCAACTATTCTCCAAAATGTGAGGGTGAGTAGGGGGAAGAATCTCTACTCGCGGAACGATTATGCGAGACATTACTTTGCCTACGTGACCCTTGTTGCATTATACATACATATATGTATATGTAGAATCGTTTCTATGGCCAGTGTCTGGCTCAGAATTTAATTATGATCTGTATTATTCATAAAAGTTTCGCGTCCAAAAATGTCAAATTTTCATTCGCACATGTTTTAAAAAATTATTACTAATGGCTGAAAGATTTCATTGTCTTTTATAAATATTACAAGATACACCGAAAAAAATGATTTGCATAATAGTTTTGCTGGAACTAAAATATTATTGACAGTCCTCTTAAATTCGATTTAAAATGACTTGAACTTTACACGTATAAGTCGCAAAGTTCAGCTACATATTTCATCGTAGTACGTCTCGCAGGATGCAACATAAATTCTTAATACGAAACCACTGGTCCGTAAATTTTGTATTTTGGTTACTTGCGCTTGAGAGTAGCGTACGCGACACGCCAATCGCCGAAAAATACTGCCAAGGAAATATATCTAAAAATACATTCCACATAGGAATTCAAAATTAATGTCACAATGTTTCTTATTTTTCGTATCGGTATGGTAAAAAGTGTCGCGTATTTTACAATTCGACCACATGGAAATGTACTTAATATACTGTTTTGCCTGAACTGAAACCTTATTGAATTTTTCTGAATCAACAACTGAACGTAATAAAAATCGATTTTTTAATAAATACGAGTTTTAAAATAGCATTTCGAAGAACGTTTTGCTTCCTATAACCAAATTCCATGGCGAAATTCCCAGAGCCATAAACAGGAAGCAGCTCTTAGTCAACAAGCGATCGGTATTAGGAAAATGTATTACGTCGAACAAAAGACTGTGAAGCAAAGGTGTCGAGACGAGCCGACATCTTGTAAAGGCGGATCGAACGTTCCTTTGTGAGCCGCGCTTCTATTCGAAAAGATTTTACATGGAAGTATACGAGTTTTTGTCTCGGCAAAGGAACTGGGGCCATCGATCGATAATATAATCTCTATTATCGTCGACGGCGGCGACGACGTCGAGATCGTTACTTCTGTTTGACTTCGATATAGTCGTGCAGGGTGAAAAGTTTCTTCGTCTAAAAGCGGGCGACGCGGAGACCCGCCAAACCGAGCTAACGTCATCGTCTCGATTAAATTTCTTTACCGTCGTGAAACTTACTAAAAAACAAAAATAAAACGATCGAAAGAGCAGGCAAATTTTATTTCTTCGTCACCCTTTGACTTTAGGAGGCTTGACCCAGTTGGATAGGGTCGCTCAAATTAAATTTCCTACGAAACTTCCATAATAGTTGCCCAAACAATAATTTCATCCCAAATCTTTACCTTCAAAAGTTCGAGTGTTCTGTTATTACGTTGAGTATTACGCGCGTTTGCCAATCATAATTGAAATTTATTTTTTTATCAGCTGGGCGAAATTATAGCAACTTATTCTGTACAATCACAACATCAGGTCAAAGTATGATACATATTGGAACTGCATACATAAAATTTTAATAAACAGTGCATAGTTATCAACAAATATTTGTCTGTCCTCCATTTCCGTCTATCAATCAACTTACATTGTGGAACTTTGCAAATTTGTTATGTTTCGCGCTGGATAGAATATCTTCCGCACCTCCTCGCGACACGTGACAGTTTTTCGATGACGTTCGTAACTGTTTTTCCACATGATTGATGAGAGTCGTTCGAATCTCGATACATTTGCGTGCTCATCGATACGTATGCGAAAACCGATTAAAAATAGGTAAATGAATTTTCGCGACAGATCTGGGCTATTAATCGCATGAAAAACGCAGCCGTGATTCCAATTAATTTGTGCAATCGACTACGCGATAATGTTCGATCAATGGGGATACTAATGGAGACTTAATCCGCGACATCGGTTCACTAAATAATGTATTTATCTTCCAGGATGTGATTTTACTAAAGAGAAAACGTTTGTTTGTATGTTAGTCAATATCGGAAAATGTTCCTTTGTCACATAATAAATCATTCTGGTACATGTATGTATGTGTGTTTGCACGACTAAACCGAACAATTTATGTTACTTGAACACGAATAATTGGCGAAAGTTGCATAAATTCGTTGATCATAAATTTTAGTTACGTTTAGACTACCATAAAAATGTAAGTCAAGCACTGAAATTCGGGTGTTTCATCGAAATTGGACGCGAGTAACCAGTGTACACCATGCACTGCGTTAAATGGAATTTGGCAAAAGCAATGGTCGTGCTGGTACATTATGTCTCAATAGTACCCCGATTAAAGCCAAAATCGATAGCTGGGGTAATGGTAAGCTGTAAATGGCTGATCGAATCATTTGCGAAAAGCATGCGCCTTAGAACGAAACGATTCTCAGGAAAAATTTTCTCTCTCTTTCTCTTATTAAACGCATCTTCACGTTGAAAGCATCGCCCAAGTTCCTCTCAAGACTTTTACCGAGTTTTAAAGAGTGTTACGAGGCATGTTTGTTACACGGTCCGTTTTGTATTGCGTATACGTACGTATAATACACATGTACCCCCACCTAGTTTTTCATCCTGAATATGCATTAGAGGTTTCTGTATTCCCGTCTTTAGGCTCGGAGTTTGTTAACATATAGAAGGCGTGTATTTTTCCTTTTCACTGCATGCGTGCAAACATCATTCAGATATTAATAAAAATATCGCATAAAACGTTTCACAAGTAGGACTCTCTAATTTATGAAACTGAACGAAGTTCAGCTCACACGATTATAAAGTATTTTATTAGGTCACAATGAAGTAATATCTTTACTTCCTTTCCACACAAAATGCGCAATGCACAGCTGCAACTTCGGCATAGACGTCGGTGACAGAATTGGATTTCCCGACAGCGTTGAAACGACACGACGCGCCATCCAGTTAAGGTCGCATAAAAAAATACATCACGGATGTCACCGCGAGTCGTAGAAATAAGGTCTGACAGACGTCGCGAATTAATTGTTCCCCTCGGTGACAGAGACAAGTGTAGGGACACCCTCGACTCAATAGGGACGATGCTAAATCGACCAGCGATCATTCCAATTTCGACGAATTGGACGAACGAGAACTTGTAACTTCGTTACTTAGTCAAATTGTCAGGAACCAAGTTTTTTGCACATTCTCGTGATCGTTGTCAAACGAAATTGGCTGCGATCGAAGATTGTTACAAGAGGAAATTGTATTTCTTAAAATGAATGGCGACCGAACGCCGGGTATTATAGACTTATGTACTTTTGTGCATGTCTCAAATGCTCAAATATTTCCTTCATCCCTTGAAACATAAAGGAAGTATATTTCTGTAGACTATCTTTAAAATTTCGTCTTATCGCAAGTTTGCTTATGCGTTTGTGAGAAACTGATCTTGGTGAAGCATATAGTTGATGTAGTAAACCCCAAGGAGTTTGACCACGAAAGTCTGCAGCGTACATACATATGCAGACCGTACTTGGTCGTTGGATCTACTTTAGGTTTCCATTGAGCATTTAGGAGTAGGAAAGAAACTACTTCTGTGAACTCTTGATTTCTCGGAAACTTCGTATCCTTTCTAAGAAATGCTTTCAAGCTAAATTCGTCGAGAATGAAATTGCCGGTATCATCTCATGTTATTTTAAAGGCATACATTTGCGAGCGCTTCTGGCTGAGAGGTTAACAGATGACTCAGAAACATTTCAAGATTTACATTCCATTAAACATCGACAGCCATTCCATGCATATTCATTTTGCGAGGACCCGAGCGTATCAACAAATGTAATAAAAAATTGTCTTGTTCAATTCGATCGGCATGCGAAGCAGAGATCGTCTCGAGCGTGTATAGACTTTGTCGAGCGGCTGTTGAATTTTACAACAATTTATACAAACACCGCGCGAATTCGAATAAACATTTTACAAACGAAATCATTTTACACGCTCGCATTCTCATATTCAGATTTCGTTCGTACTCCGAACGAGCAAATATTGATATAATCGCATGGAAACTGCAAATTTTCATACACGCGGCGTTTATACAATCGACTAAAGGAGTTCGTGCGGAAAATCTGAATATGAAAATC